TCTAATATTTTCTTTTAAAATTAATAAATGATTACTTAAATAGAATAATGCTTTGATCTTATAACTTTTTATTTATTCGTTATCCACTTCTTCTAAACAAATGTCTATTTAATTGACTTAAAACTTACTATTTTTTTTTAATATTTAAAGTTCTAAATACACTTTGAAATCCTTGAAAAATAACAATTTGCGAAAGTAATTCATTTATGTATTTGTCTTCTGATACTTATAAATTCTGATAACTTTTTTTCACATTTAATTTTCATTATTCACAGGTAAGAACACGAAACTTAGATTCACTTTTTTGAAATAGAAAAAATCCATTTTAATCAGTAAATATATTTTTCCCGTTATTTTATTTCGCTGCTTTTTTGGAAAACTGCAGTTTCTATTACACAAAGTTTTCACTTTCATATGAAAAACCTTAAAGAGTTGTTTTGCTTTACTTCTTGCTGCTTTTCGGAAGTAAAGCAATAGCACTATATATGTAAAAGATCTTGGCCGTTGTTTTGAAAAAAAAAACTGGATATCCGCTTCGAATGACTGCCAAAAATGACAAGCCGGAGGATCATCTTCGGAGGAAAGGATTTTTTCTAATTTCATACGATGAGGGAAGAAGACAGGAAAATATTTACAACACAAGGAATATAGAATTTTCCTTTAATATGGCATACGAATGAAGCAAATCGTTTGGTCACAATATAAGAATATGGGATGGTCTATGACAATGTCAAAGTGTGAGTATGCGTGTGTGTATGGGTGTGTGTTTATAAATGCGATGGATTCAAAAGGATAACATTCTTTGCATTCTCATTGCTCTTTTCTTGCTTTAATCAAGAGATTCAAAACGTGTGATGATACTTTCAATGAATGAAATTTAAGGGGCGTGGCTAAAAGGAAAATCAGAAGTTCTTCTGATTTTCCACAATGGAAGAGAAAAAAAAATCAAATATTTTCACTCTTCTTTTTCTTCTCTCTAGAAAAATGTTTGATTCCCTTGTTTATTATTCACTAGTTTGTAGTAAAACAATCATCAGAATAAGATAGATCCTTAAAAAGCATAATATCAAAAGTTTTCTTTACTCAGGTTTTAAAAATATTAAACTTGAAAATATATCCATGATTAAAAGAACAACTCAGAAATTCAATCAATTGTGTGAAAAAAATAAGTTGAAACTTCTAAAATGGATATTAACTAGAAATCTCATAAACAGTTTAAGCGAACATACATATCTAAATGTTTTTTATTGTATGTTTTAATTTAAATTAGGATAACATATATCAATTTTTTATTGTTTCATGTTATTTTTAAACCAGGTGATATATTTTGAGTAGATATCCGGTTGAAAGTCTTCTTTACATATATTTTAAATGACTCCCTAAGCATTTTATCGTGATGAGTGAAATGAATAGATTTTTTCAATTGCTATTTTTTGAAATTGAAAATGTAAATATTACTTAATGGATAAAAAACATGCAATTATCGACTGATGAAAACTTTCGATAAAATTACCTAATAATTTTTTTTTATGAAAAGTGAAATATTCATAGCCACCCCAAAATAAAAATACTCACAATATATGCAAGACTTTAAACTTTTTTATCATTTTTATCGTGATCTGCTATCAAAATTTAGTTTAAGGGGTTGTTTATAACTCATCTGAAACAAGCCTACAAAAGCATTAAAAATAATTACATATATCATGAACGACCGTAACCATAAATCAAACCGTTTACGACTCATCGACAGCAACAGTATCACTTTAAATGAGCAGTGGTTGTAAGCCGCGTGCATATTTTGCTTTTACGGAAGTCACGTGACAAAAATATTCAAGTAGAACTCGTTAGAATGAGAAACAAAAATTTAACTACTTAAACTGTATATATTTATACTTACAAATATATCCTACTCGATTGCATAATTTATCAATTAATAAAATTTTCAGCTGAAATAAGAGAGAAACATTCGTTTTCTATTTTTTTTTAAATTTTGAAATTACAGCAGTTTATTCATCAAAGTAAATTTTAAATAAGTTTTGTCATTTTTTTATTTAATACAATATCGGGCAGTGATGTTTAATTTTTGTTTTCTTAATTCTTCCCAAATGTCGGTTCTCTTTAAAAAAAAGATTTTTATAAATAACCATCCAAATTTGAAAGAAAGGAAAAATTTCAGGTTCTTTCTACAAATCGACTTATTATGTAGGTATGTAGATTGACAATGTTTAGTAAGGAAAATTATTTTAGGATTTTCTGTTTTTATTAAATGTGCCTATCTACAAATCTTTCCATAAAAATAAAGTAAGTATTCATTCATAATTATCTTATGTGGAAAATTGAATTAAAAAAAGATACAGTCGTTTTTAAAGCAAGACAAACATATTCAATTTGTTTTTGACTAAAAGAAATCAAAATAATATTTTTAAATAGTACAAAAACAAAAAATAGTACTTAAGTTTAATTTTATTTTGGATTGCACCGATTTTAAATATTTCATTCCCTTGCTCTTTAATCATCCTAGGTAGTTTTATTTTTGATATGGAAAGTTCAGTGAAGTAGTGGTCAAAACAATATAATACATATATTATTTAATAATATATATATTATATGTATTTATATCTTGCGTACATTAGAAAATGAAATTAAGATATTTAGTAAAGCCT